ACACGATGAGTATGGTAGATACTGTAGTTTAAATTCATCTTTAAGTAGATAAATTCTCAAAAATTTAACAACCTTCGCACGCACTGTGTTGACCCAAGGGTTGATTAGTTGGCTGGTATTTTTTTTAATAATGTTGCACATGTGTGTTTCATTATCGTCTACGAATATTTACCATTTAATAGTTTCACATATTACAATTTTGGACCATTTAACTTTACATCATAAATATAATATATTATGTACATATATTATTATTATTTGTATTAAATTGAGAGTTGAGAATTGGTTAGTTTTGTTTGAATTAGGTGGAAATGCAATGACTTCCATTGAAAGTTAATTACATATCAAAATGAAAAATAAATAAAATCTGACTCTCAGTAGACCTTAACCGATGTCCGTTCCTGATGTTTGACCTTATACCGAATGAGATGTAAAAAGGATAATACACAAACGTACGAACCGACTAAAATTGTCACGTTTAAATATATACCAAGGCACCCCTGGACATCAAAACTTCATATTACTGAATAAATATAGTAAATAAATCATGCAAACGGTGAGATTTAGGGCATCATTTAAAAGTATAGAATTCCTAATAACGGAATTAAAAGATACATTTCTCAGAAGAAAATGCGTTTCTTACTGGAAAATCGTTATTTTTCTCACGCTCTAGGTAAGATATTGAATTCGGTACCTTTACTCATTAAGATACATACACATAGGTGCACGTTGGTTCCAAGACACATAAATACACATGCGTGTATGTGTGGCCAGCTACATCCCCTTATTATAGAAACTCACACCAGGAATAGAAAATTCCAAACAAAAGCCGGTTGGTTGGTTGGGTAAGGGCATCACCAAAAGGGTCGTACTTTACCGTTACTAAGCAGCTGCTGTTAAGATGGGATGCTTTTCAGTATACAATAATTGTGTGATATAATATATACATATAAATTCGTACATAACCGTTTATATTTTGTATACGTATGTAATGTATTTGAGAAAGTAAAAGAGAAGAGAGCTATTTGGGGCGGTACTCTATTACAAAGTATAATCAGTACGAAGAAAACTGTAGATGTTATTATGTAAAATATATACAATTTTAGGTTATCAATGAGAGACTTCTTATATTCGCTTTCGTTTAATAATAAAATTCAACATCTCTGCAGCATCTACATATACCTACATCAACCGTCAATTCAATGTCTAATTAGTTNGAGACTTCTTATATTCGCTTTCGTTTAATAATAAAATTCAACATAAAGAATAAAAGTGGAAAACCTTACGTAAACAAATAAAATTTTAAGATGTGGATTGAAAATAATTTAACAACTTAACAAAACATAGATCCAAAATACATTTGTTAAAAAGAAACTAAAATAAACTGAATGAATTTTTAATTCCAAAATTCGATATTATCTGTATCTAAAATTGATTACATTGATTTTCCTTGAACAGAACTAATTCAATGTAGGTATGTTTGGTATTGGCGGCTTGTTTTCATTTTAATCACGCTTGATATTGACATTAACCCACCTTTTTTTGTTTATTGTTATTTAGATGGAAAAGTAATTAGCAAGCATGACAACAAAAAATTGTTTAGGAGGCAATTCATCTATTACGATCTCCAATAAGAAGTTTGATTTTCAATTAACGATTCAGGTTATTGTAGATTAATTTAAATCGACATTAACAACACTCTACTACGTCTAACGTTCTCTTGTTATTTAGCTGTTATTACTTAAGGTTGTTACAGTATAAAATCCCTTATAAAGAAACTGTTTAGTACCTACAAAAAATTCCCTATAACGTATAGATTTCTTTGATTTGCCTGTGACACACAAACATTATTAACTAATCGATACGTCCCTTAAAAAAGCAAATGTGACTGATAAAAAACATTGTTTCTTTTGAGTGTAATTGTTTTAATAATAATCTAGTTACCTTGAAAAATCTTCCCTATATTGGACTGTGTTTATTAACGTTAATCACGCAATTATTTTCAGTTAAGTAAGAGGAGATATTAATTAGCAAGTAATAAATATCTTAAAAAACAAAAAATTATTGAAAAGCTTTTCGTCTTGCAGAAAACTAATCAGCGAGGAATATCAAATTCCACGGGTCAATTCCAATTTAAAACGCACATTTATTAAAGGTAGCTTATAAGAAGTAGGTACGTGCTCATTACATGTAATTACAGGAAAATGAATAATTAACAATTTCATCTAAAATGATCTGTTATAAATTCTATAATGATGCATTAGCAAGGATAATACTTATATTTAGACATACAGATGTACGTAAATTAACCGCTCATAATGATATGTTTATGTATGTTTATGTTCTACAAGATATATGTAACTAGATTGTTTTTCTCGTTTTGCTAAATGCAAAGTTTCATGTACCGGGTGATGATACGATAAGAGCTAATGATAACGATTTCTTACAACTGACAGGCAAAGGTAGGTATTAGTCTTTTTTTTACTTTACTTTACTCGTATAAAACTTTTTTAATAACAAACTGAACATAATTAAATTTTGAAGAATAAATTAAAAAGGTTGTTACAGAATTACTGTATAGTCCATCACCTTCTACTTATTTTATTATTTATATTTATTTTCTGTATGAATTACTACTATCATGCGCTTAAAATTTGCAGTTTTGGCCTTCTGATTTTTTTTTTGTTAGAAATGAAATAACAGACCTTTTTCTGTACTTCCCCTATTATTCCCACGGTAACACTCTCTGACACGATGAGTATGGTAGATACTGTAGTTTAAATTCATCTTTAAGTAGATAAATTCTCAAAAATTTAACAACCTTCGCACGCACTGTGTTGACCCAAGGGTTGATTAGTTGGCTGGTATTTTTTTTAATAATGTTGCACATGTGTGTTTCATTATCGTCTACGAATATTTACCATTTAATAGTTTCACATATTACAATTTTGGACCATTTAACTTTACATCATAAATATAATATATTATGTACATATATTATTATTATTTGTATTAAATTGAGAGTTGAGAATTGGTTAGTTTTGTTTGAATTAGGTGGAAATGCAATGACTTCCATTGAAAGTTAATTACATATCAAAATGAAAAATAAATAAAATCTGACTCTCAGTAGACCTTAACCGATGTCCGTTCCTGATGTTTGACCTTATACCGAATGAGATGTAAAAAGGATAATACACAAACGTACGAACCGACTAAAATTGTCACGTTTAAATATATACCAAGGCACCCCTGGACATCAAAACTTCATATTACTGAATAAATATAGTAAATAAATCATGCAAACGGTGAGATTTAGGGCATCATTTAAAAGTATAGAATTCCTAATAACGGAATTAAAAGATACATTTCTCAGAAGAAAATGCGTTTCTTACTGGAAAATCGTTATTTTTCTCACGCTCTAGGTAAGATATTGAATTCGGTACCTTTACTCATTAAGATACATACACATAGGTGCACGTTGGTTCCAAGACACATAAATACACATGCGTGTATGTGTGGCCAGCTACATCCCCTTATTATAGAAACTCACACCAGGAATAGAAAATTCCAAACAAAAGCCGGTTGGTTGGTTGGGTAAGGGCATCACCAAAAGGGTCGTACTTTACCGTTACTAAGCAGCTGCTGTTAAGATGGGATGCTTTTCAGTATACAATAATTGTGTGATATAATATATACATATAAATTCGTACATAACCGTTTATATTTTGTATACGTATGTAATGTATTTGAGAAAGTAAAAGAGAAGAGAGCTATTTGGGGCGGTACTCTATTACAAAGTATAATCAGTACGAAGAAAACTGTAGATGTTATTATGTAAAATATATACAATTTTAGGTTATCAATGAGAGACTTCTTATATTCGCTTTCGTTTAATAATAAAATTCAACATCTCTGCAGCATCTACATATACCTACATCAACCGTCAATTCAATGTCTAATTAGTTTATAAAAATAATCAACATAAATTGACAATTCATCTATTCATCTAATGAATTTATCTTCAGTCGTGAGTTTCCCCAATTGTAATAATTATCATTTTCTATTTCCTTTTTCAACGTATGAATCTATGAATTACCTTGCACAAATCCTAGATTTTAAAATACCAGATTAAAAAAGTGCATTCCAAGAATCCAAAAAGAGACGACTACATAAAACTATTCCTTGGAAACAGTATTCTTTTCTGAATAAGAGGTCGACGACCACCTAATGCTCGGGAACAGTATTTTTTTTCTCGATAAAAGGTACCTACCCTATGTCCTTTTCTGTACACCTTTGACAATATGTGTACAAAATTTCATGATAAATTTTACCCTTGGCTTTGCCCGCCTTGATGTCTTAAATCCATGTCAAAAATCATCGACGACCAACTAAAACGAATTTATTCTGTTCCTATGGGAAAATTAACTTTTCCTGGATAAATGACACCCTATGTCCTTTTCTGTACCTCTAACAATTTGTGTATAAAATTTTATGATGACCGGTTGAGTACTTAAGCCGTGAAAACGTAACAAACAAACTCACATATTATTTAGGACTACTATAAAATATGCTCAAAATTATGTATTTATTTTTATCTAACTTAATGAAAATACCACAGGGAAATAAATTACATCTATTAAAATAACATTTGTTTTTACTAGATACTGAATTGAAAAGCAATTTGAAAACAGTTAATCGACTTATACTTTATTGCTGTAATGTTTTTGTTGCAGTTATTAATAGAAGCTCTTTATTTCTAACGGAACTTGTACTTCTGAACGATGTTATGGTACAACCTGAACGACAGCTTCGTAGGTACTACTACATTATAGGTAGATGATTGAATAAAAAAAAAATTGGGCCAATAATGCAACAAATTATCACATAACGGGCATTCACTATCAATTAGTAAGACCACCGAAAGGAATCACAATCCATCGTGCAGTGCTGGATGGCATTCAATACCACATCATATCGACATCAATTTATATGTAATAGTAAATGCATTTATAGCCGTTCGAATATTATCACGTTCAATGAAATTGACCACTACTACAGATGATGGTCAATCTTGAATTTGTTAGTAACGTAGAAGAATAAAAATGACGCACATTCAAACACACCAAACAGTAAAAGGTTATAAATCAGTTATTATTGATTCCTCTAAGATCACTTCGGCATGCGGTAGCTCCTTCAGGTGTAAGAATTTTAACAAAGAACATACAGGTCCTCTAATGTAGAGGGAGAGGTTAAAATTTACATAACTATTATTAGATAGTTCGATATTGAAGATAGAGGAGTAGAGTCTAGGGCAGAGGAACTGACCCCTCTTCCCATTTGCCAAAATTAGGTGTTAGCAATCGGCCCAGAGCTCATAGACCTCACAATCTTCCTGAAAGCTGAAATACTTCCTAAATAACACGTAAGGGTCATCAACGGCGCGCACGATCAAGATAGATTCGGAATTCGGATGAGATGGGGAGAGTATCACTACGCCACTGACAGGTACTAGTGGGAATGAAACAACCGAATGTTTTGCTGCATTTTGTAAGCCCTCTGAAATCTGAAAAACTTCCTCGACAACACGTAGGGGCCTTCAACGGCGCGCTAGATCAAGATAGCTTCGGATTTGGGTTGAGGTGGAGGGAGTATCGTTACGCCACTAGTAGGTACTAGTGGGAATGACAACCAACAACAGAATGTTTTACTGTATTTCGTAAGTCCCTTAAAATCTGAAAAACTTCCTCAGGAAAACGTAAGGGTCAACTGCTCGTAGGATCAAGATACATTGGAATCAATAATAACTCATTCGTAAGCAAAACTTGTATTTTCTCTACTATTCTGATGGACTTACGAGGACTTAAAGGCCCATGAGTTCTTCTACCACAAAGGGATAAAGAACTCATTATGAGACCACAAAAACATTATCAATCGATTTTGAAAATAACGCAACGGGCTCAAATATACAGCGAAGCTTTTATATCACTTTAATTATTATTTGCTAAAGTTGCACCTACAAGTCCATCTGTTAAGTACTAAATTTAATTGCTGCAAAAACTACCATTCACACCGTACACCGTTACTCTTCGGAAAGACTTTTACAAATCATCTGTAGGTACACACTAAATTGCTCATTTGGAAACCAGGAAGCGATTTTACAGCTTGGTTAAATAACTTGACGTCCATTCGATTCGTATTAGTTTCTGGGTAAAGTTGTCAATGTTTGAGTAGACGATATTATTTAAGTACTGTGATGGGCGATATAGTGTTCGAAGAGTATTATGGTATCGTGTTATGAGGACCGTTGCCTGTTTAGTGGCTTCGTAGATGACTGCGGTATGTCATTTTGCGTGCGTGTTTCGCATACCCGAGCCACTAAAACAGTTACGTTTGATTAAAAAGAAACATACAATGAAGACTAATACGTAAAAATGCGTAGAACAACAACTTAATTATGTAAACAAGTTAAGATGATCAGTCGTGATTCAGGAATGTATCAGTAACTATTGAAATGTTTACGTATTCAACATTTCCAAACTAATTTTATCTTTATTGCAGTAGATATTATTTATAGCTACAACTGGTATAAGGACATAGTAGCAAAACGACGAAATGTTAAAGTATCGAACAGATATACGAAATAGAGTATGGGATAACCGGGTACCCAGAATTAGCTGTACTGTTAATCGTTCATGCCTTCGTTCTGGCAAACTTTTCATTACATAATTACTAATTCTCACCAACATCTCAAACCACGTTGAATCAAAAAGTTGTTTAAACAACTAGCCAATGAAATTTCAATTTTTGGTTGGCAGATTTTCAACAGGAGGGTTGAGTTGAAACCGTTGAAACGACAGAAATTGTAAAAGTTCATACTGATGACATACACTACATCGAAGTAACAAATAATTTGGCATAGTAATCAATAAATAATATAAATTAGGATAAACGGCTTATCCCAATACAATATTAATTATCAATTTTCGTTAGACAAGTTTTGTCCAATACGAAATCTGTATTGTTTATGGCGACATCGGATATTACGACGTTTGACGAAGCTATCGGTATACAGGGGACAAATGTGTGGTAAAATTTGTGACAATTTAACTTTCATAACGGCGGACTCTTACGTAATTACATCAAAATACTCGTTCATTATTTACCCCTAATTGTGAGTTAAATACATGTCGTTAATATTCTTTTATTTTAANAATAATGATAATAACAAACATAACAACTATATTACAACATTTATTAGTGTTATACAGTAGGTAGTTCCTAATCAGTAATCAATTAAAAGTAACTCTTCAGATATGATAATTAACCCAACTTGTTTTTTATTTCCTAATGTAATTTAAGAACAAGCAAAAGGAATTTTGGGATTATAGACGCGGTTAAAAATCAACAGCTTACTTGGGTAACAAAATTTAAAGTTTAACTTCTACCCTTCCATTCGCTGAAATATTTACATCATGTGTCTCTGACTAGACCTTCATGCCTGAGAAGGTGTCCTACCAACCTCTCGCCTATTTTTTATTAACTTCCATAAAGTCCTCTGCTCTCCTATTCTTTCTAATACCTCTTCATTTCTAACCTTTTCTACCCACATTGTCCTCATCATCCGCCTATAACACCACATTTCGAAGGCTTCTAACCTTTTCTTTTCCGCCGCGACACGACCCTGCGCTATCCTCTGCTTTATATTCCTACTACTCCTTCCGTCCTGACTTATCTGACTTCCTAGATATCTAAAGTTAGCCACTTCTTCTAATTTTCCGTCTCTCACTTTTATATTCGCTCTTTCGCTACTTTTTCTTCCCCTCCATACCAGTATTTTTTTTACTTTTATTTATTTTCATACAGTACTGTTTTATTAATACCGCTTCCATTTTATTTAAAGCTATCTCTAGGTCCTCCTTGCTAGATGCTGATACTGCTATATCATCTGCAAATCTAAGCATACTAATCTTTTGCCCTTGCACATCTATCCCTACAGTTGTACTGTCTTTAATGATGTTGATCGCGTCTTCGATGTATAGATTAAAAAGTAGCGGTGACAGTGTGCATCCCTGTCTGACTCCCTTCCTAATATTTACTTCTCTACGTTGCATCCCTAGCTCTATAACTGCTCTTTATACAAACTATCACTCTTCTAATAACATGAGTACTTAATAATTTTTTATTGTTTCAACCTTATGGACTCATTCAGTCCTTTGTATTATTTGTTTTCAGATGAAGAAATTCCAAAGGAGTCCGAGTAAAGTGTGGTGGGGAGAAGAAGCGCTGAACTGGTCTCAGAGATCGACCTCTTCCAGTTCTGGAAGTCAAGATTCGGGATTTTCGGATACGGAAACGTCTTCGGGGCACCTCAAGAAACGCGAACCTAGCCCTGGCCAACCTAGCAACGGCGAAACTTCTAATCAGTTCCGCAAAGACATATTAAAGGACATAACATCATCTCAGAACTTATCGTCAAATTTTAAAGAAAAATCCACCCCCAAGAAGACGTCACCATTCTACACACAAAAGAAAGAGAACAATCCGTCTAACAGATTCTCGTCCATTGAAGAAGGCGAAGACCTAGCAACAACAGCATGTGCATGCATTTCGTCGAATAAGCACGTGGTTGAAACAGAAGTCGTTAACAATCGAGTGAACAGAAATTTATTTAAAAATCTCGACGCGAATGAAACGGCACGCGACTTGAATGTCGAAGATGATTCCTCTGAATTCTCGGAACCATGTGACAATAACAATCGAACTGTAAGTGACCACGACGAAATTCCTTTACAGTTTAGTGAGTGTAGCATTGACAACGTTGACGGGTGTAAGACGTACCCTTTTTTGTCCGTATCACCGTACGTTTTGCAAAAAAACAATTCGGCACCCGCGCTCATTGACCATCCGGAAGTGACTGAGCCAGTTTCCAACTCGCTCAGAAGGAGCAGCTTGTCGAGTAGCGATGAAAGTGAATTGGAATTACTTTTTAATGAAAATTTATTAGGCTCTCCGAAACACAGTTCGACACCGAAAGGACAATTCCGAAAGGAAGAGAGCATGAGGCACAGGAGGGCCAAGCACCTTTATCAAAAGTATCAGAATGAAAGGTCAGTATTTTCTGATGATGCTTTGCGGTTGAACGCTAAAAGTTTTTTTAATTTTTCCCTCTCGAAGTCCTAACGAGTTAATTTAAGTTTGTAGGCTTGCACGGCCGGAATCTATACGATGAAGATTTTCCGAGCTAATGAGCCGGTGTCTAGTGGAATTTTTATTTCTTTCTTGCTTCTTGGAAAAAGGGTATTTCTTGGAAGAAATAAAAATCGTTCGTTAGCCCAGAAAATCTTAGCTAAAGTTTAGTTTTCTCCTACCGTTACAGTAGGTTATTTAGTATTTTCATTTTAAAAAAGACGTTCTATCTATGAAATGTTATTTAATAAGTTGTATAAAATGAACCCCTTTTTAATTTATGAATCATGAAAAGTTTCCTAGGCAAAAACACACACTTATTAATCGTTTTAAAACGCTTGAAAGAATATAGTGTAATTGTATAGAAATGAATAATCGACTCATATTAATTAATGCAAAATGAATGTCACAATTTGAGTCAACAACATGACGTAACATTTTGTTAGAAATTTAAAACTCATCAACCGCGGCATTTACCAATCATGAACAGCACGAAGTTAAAATATTTCAGGTATGTTAATAATGATAATAACAAACATAACAACTATATTACAACATTTATTAGTGTTATACAGTAGGTAGTTCCTAATCAGTAATCAATTAAAAGTAACTCTTCAGATATGATAATTAACCCAACTTGTTTTTTATTTCCTAATGTAATTTAAGAACAAGCAAAAGGAATTTTGGGATTATAGACGCGGTTAAAAATCAACAGCTTACTTGGGTAACAAAATTTAAATTTTAAATTAGAGCAATAATTTAAAATATAATGCTTTAAAAAACACATTTGTACAACTTGGACGTAAATGATTTTGATTATGATAATTATTGTAATAACAATAATGGTTGGAAATTTTGAACATATTTTATAGTATTAGGTAGTCAATTTTTCCGTCTTTTTTTTTTAATTTCCTGAAAAAAATGATACTTGATAATTTGTTGTCATTATTAATTGATTAATAAGGAGAGCGAATGTGAATCATCATTGCCCCAAAGAATTTAGTGAATGGTTAATGTGATATAACCAGGCTTTAGTCACAATACAATCCTTGAAAAGTCAGTGGGATCTCTTTTTATCACAATCGGTTTAATTTTTACATTTTTTTTTTGTACAAGTTGAATTCTAATTACATGCCGCTTCCAGAATTACAGTAAAACAAAAGATTATATTTTTTACAGAATTTTACGTAGACGTATGCGCTTCGAAAACGAAAATGCTTCCGTTCAAAAATGGTTAGAAGAAGTTCGCGAAATTTATGATCCGGAATGTATGATAATGCTGCAGTGTAAATCTGTAGCTGGAGATTTATCACAAAAAGTTTCACATCTTGCAAATATGCTCACCTGTCCTTTACGAAAGCTTTTGTATATGGGCGAAAATATCGAAAAAGAATTCGACAATATAAAAAGGTAATTGTTAGTAATTAAACTTTTATCAACCTATACGAGTACTTTAATGTTTTATTTCTGTTTCCTTGTTAATATTACAGCCAAAGCCACTATTCTGCACCACTTGCACAAAGTCTAACTGGTCACATATCAGAATTTGCTTGCAATTTCGTGGAAGGTAATAACGAATTAATTATAAAGTGCGAAGAAATTAGACGTGCAACTCTAGAAGAGTTACCTTCTCTAACCGATAACTTGTACTCTAATTGGAACTTAATTTTTCAAGAAATACTTGTCAAATACCTGAAAAAATTAGTATGTTACTTAGAAGATCCAAGATCAGAACTCGAACTACGAGCGACATTGACAGCTGTAACGTCGTTGACTCTACGCAACGAATCATTCGCTGAAATATTTACATCTTGTGATACCATTTCGACGTTGTGCGTTCTGTGTGAAAAATGCGAAGGATCAACCGTCAGGGCTTTAGTGTTAAGAGCCTTATCCACAATATGCAACAACAGTCCAGCCTTAAAACAATTTGAAAGATGTTCTGGGATTCAGATGATAACAGAAATTCTGACTGAAGATTCAAGACCTGAACCGGAAAGGGCTGAAGCTTTAGCCTTACTAGCTCAAGCTACCGCCCCGTGGATAGAAGACAATCGAAATTTAAAAACCCTCTACGGTCATATCAAACCGCTTGTAAAAGCGATAACACATTTCATTACAACCACGAGATGTTGTCAAAATTTGTTACTTTGCGCAGCGGCTTTGGCAAACATTTCTTCACTAGAACCAAAAAGTATTAAGTATATCCTGAACCAAAATTCGATCCGTTATCTTCTGGAATGTATTAAAGAAAGAGGTCCCGAAGTGTCCATATACATCCTCGAACAAATCGCCATAATTTTAGCCAACGTTTCGTCCAAACAGGAAGCTAGGGAACAAATGATAGAAGAAAACGTGGTGAGGATTCTTTTGTACTTCCTGCAGGCTACTTCCGATGATAAATATGCCGTCCAAAGAATACAACAGAAAGCGATAGTAGCACTCTCTAGGCTAAGTGGGAATAAGAAGGCTGCAGAACAACTGGTTGAACAGGGAGGGATATCTAAGTTGGCGAATCTTTGTAGGGATAAAGAAAAACGGTACGACAGTGATGCAGTTCTTGTAGCAGCTCTGGTAAGTTGCACTTCGGAACTATTAATTTTTAGAATTCCACATCATAATATAAATTTGATATAAAATTAATGGATCTTAGTCATGAGCAAAAACCAAGTCCGGTTTTGGAACTGGTCTCAGTCTTACTTATCATCATCATCATTATCATAAGGTCGTCACGCACCTTCACTCCTTCCTATCCTGAGCTAATCTTCGCATTTCCCTAAAACTAGAACATCCCACATCCTTAACTATTTGCGAACAGTAATCTAATCTCTAATATGTCTCTGACTTAGACCTTCATGCCTGAGGTGTCCTACCAACCTATCTCGCCTATTTTTTATTAACTTCCATAGACTCCTCTGTTCTACTATTGTTTTTAATACTTATTTATTTCTAACCTTTTCTTTCCACGGTATCCTCATCATTCGCCGGTAACACCACATTTCGAACGCTTCTAATCTTTTCTTTTCCGCCGCGCCCACCGTCCATGTTTCGCACCCGTACAGCGCCGCGCTCCAAACATACAAATTTAATAATCATTTTAGAATTTCTAAATTAATTTTTCGGGAGCATAGAAGTGACTTGTTTTTAGTGAAGGCGACTCGATCCCTACTACTCCTTCCGTCTTGACTTATCTGACTTCCTAGATACCTAAAGTCAGCCATGTCTTCTAATCTTTCGTCTTCTATCTTTACATTCGCTCTTTCCCTACTTTTTCTTCCCTTGCATACCAGTATTTTTCTTTTACTTTTATTATCCAGTACTTACGATTAGGTTTTTTTTAAATAATACTTCTAATTACAAATTTTTCTATTTATGGACACAATTTGTCTTAAATGCTTAAATTTTCTGTCATACATTATAGTTTATCATGACTTTTAAAGAAAATAGTGCCGATAGTTGTGAAAACCCGAGAACCTAATTCTCCAACGCTTAAATCGACCTTTTAGCGAAAAAAATAATACAAGCTATCTAGTTTGTCTATATTTCAATCATGTGTTATCCAGTCTTGGTCTTACCCTTATTGCTATAAAGACAGTCTTGTCTTGTCTTTCATTTTCAGTTATTAGAACCCAAAGGCAACATACACAAATAATTCGTGCACATCTCTAACGCAATATCTTTCCTATGACGTACGTTTATTTTATTTGATTCTGTTTTTTTTTCTTCAGGCAACTCTCAGAAAAGTTGCTGAGATATGCGGAACTGCTACCATTGGTGACGAAGATCTGCAAGAATTGGTGCAGCCAAGGCTGCTTGATTCATTTTTAACTTATTCAGCACAAAACGAAAGCTACGTGTAATTATTTATATATTTTCATACAAAACCTTCATAAATAAACGCGTGTGATTAATTGTGTGTTCGTTAAAGAAAATAGAATATACTCTTACATATATACCTATTGGTATGTATGATAATGCACAAATATGTACATACTAATAAATATTTATTTCTTCCTTATTTTGTTTAGTTTTAATTGAAAATTTTCTGAAACATTCTTTGCAGCTTTTATAAGATACTTGGTATCAAAAGCAGGTAAGATATATATGGATAAAAAATGGCGAACTATCCGATAATCAACTTTAACAAATGAGTCCCGATAAAAAAGTGTAATTTGAATGTTCGGTGAACATTTTGTCTTACCCATACAGGGTGTAACAGAAATAAGTGGCGAGGTTTGGAGGGTGTAATGTGTATTCTGAATAAAATTAAACGATAAAGTTTTGTTTTACTGCGATAGGGAAAATTAGTATAAGATGGATAAGAAAAGCTGAAAACAATCTGAAAAAAATAACAAATTTATTCAAGAAATCACAGACAGGAGGAAAACAATATTTTCGTAAAATATTAGGCGTAATACTTATGAAAAAATAAATAATTAATAACAGGTAGGTATCCGTCAACAAGTAAGTGTCTATACCTGAATAACTAAAAATATAAACAATTTTCTTTACATTTTATATAGAAATATACAACAATATGGGTAACAACAAATAAGAGAATGAGTTAAATCAAAAATATATACATGGATACTTCGATCATATAATATCTAACCTTTGAGCAATGAAACAAAATAAGTGTTAAATATTAAAAATCAGTTACTTAAAAAAATAAAATAGTTTCGCCATTTTCAGAGTGCGTGAGTATTGGCGGTTTCAATGATGTTGAAACTCTTATATTTTTTATATAATTTTCAATATTTAGCATTTATTTTGTTTAATTGCTGCTACGCGAATGACGAATAGCGTTAATTT